ATCGCCGATTTGGACACCGATGGTTGGATACTACCTCAACCCGCTATATCTCGAAGGGCATTCAGAATATGGATACAGACCAAAGAACCAGGGGAAAGTGATGAAATCTGTGGTATATGTGCCGGTGAAACTGGCGGCGTACTTTCCCCCCCCCCCTTTTTTTTTGTTATTATTATTCTATTTTATTGTAATTTTTTTCCCTTCTCTCCCTGAGGGTTGAGCGAAGTATTACGAAAGAGTAAACGCACTGCCGGTAGTGCTACTGGTGGGCCCGCTTGAACTTCTGACCTACAGAGTAGTTTACCCATACACCGCCCATGAAACGGCCAGTGCTGATTGAATTCTCACCCATTCCCTCCCCATATGACTGCCAAGGTCTGGAGTACTTGTGCCGGGTGGTGCCAGGGGATGTGGATGAACGCCCAGCCCACCCCAATAGTGGCCAACAGGCCAACTTCAAACTCCCCCGGCCCAACACTCAACCCCTAAGCTCAAGAGCTTCTGTAAAAGTGATTACCTTTTAGAGAAGGCTTTACAGAAACCACCGCTGGCAGAGTGATGCTGTAATATGAAGGCTGGCAGATTAGCGCGGCCCAAGCCAACCATATCGGGCAATGCCTTGGCGGGACTATACCAAATGAAGCAATAAATCCGCCAATCTTTGCTCCACGCAACCGATATATCCCAAGGAGGAAGTGATTATCTACTTAATAATCGGCCGCGAATCAACACAAGCGTCGATTCGAAGTTGTCCGTCACAACAGGTACGGTACTGTACGAGTACTCGTACGCTCCGGACAGTTGTACGAGTACTCGAGCACTGGTACTTGCACCTCGCTGTTATCCGCTCCTGCCAAAATAGGGAGAAAGCCCTATCAATCCCGGTCCGGTTACCACCCATGTGCCCAGCCTACCGTTTGTCCGTTCGTTCATTGATCAGCATTTCAGGAGCCCCAATTCATACCAAAGCGAGATATCATAAGTCAGGTGAACGCACCACGAGTAGCACAGTGCTGTATTGTACTCTACTCGTACAAGTACCCAATCCCTAACCTAATCTACTGTACTGTACGAGTACCGGTACTTTTCCCCGCCCAGGAGCATCGGAGGTTCTCCCGCACCCGTATACTGTACGAGCACTCAGTACAAGTACTTGTATCGTTAGCGATCGGCTAACAGCCGTTTCAACCTCCCTGGGCTCGACCACAAACAACCCTGGCCGTCGGCTGGTGCGTTCGTAAGAGGAATTCCCGAGAGGCAGGAGGGAAGGGGATTATCATGCTGGAGCGGGATTTGATTGATTCGCTACCGCTGCTGCTCTGCTGCTAGAGATGAAGGAGGATGGAGTCGAGAGTTGGGGGGTAAAATAAAGGAGCAAGATTAAAATAGTGCGAACGATTGACGAGACAATCAAGGTATGTAATTTATGGCCGCGGCATGCAGAGTACGGTTGGCGATTCGACTTTTGCATTCATACTGTACTCGTACTCGAGTACAAGTTCAGTAACCGTGGGCTAACGTAGGATAGGCAACCGGTGCAGATAGCACCGCTGCGTTGGGCTTGCCGACAACCCAGTCCAACGGTGAGTGGTACAATCGACAAACACAGGAGAAATGCTGTAAACAAAAGATAACCATACCGGTACGTGTAATAAACCCGACACAACATCATAACATTCCAGCCATCATACCATACTGGTACCATACTGCAGTCTGTCCTATCGTTAGTTATCCCCTTCCCTTCCCTTCCGATCGACAGCCTCGTAGGAGAAGGCGTAATTGCCATCTCATGTGCGAGCGGAAGGTCTCCAGCCTGCTCTCAGGCACGCAGATCCTGCACGGAGCTCCGTTATCAGGCAGGCAAGCTAAGACACCAGAAAAACATATTGTCCCCAAAGTCCATTCCTAAATATAGCATCATCATCATCATCATTAATTCTGCATTTTCCCACGAGTCAAGATACCGGTAATAAATCAAAAAACGGTGGCGCTGGATCATCTCCTTTTTCCTGCCTTCCCTGCGCGGAGCGCTGTGGGAATATTTGGTGGCACTGTAGGGGAAAGGGATCGATCCGATTGAGGCTTGCCCGATTCACCTCCTTTGTTAGCCGGCCCACCGCAGCAGGGAGGCTGGAATAGGGGGGTTCTAACAGGCAGCATTGTCCCGTTGCTTAATAACTTTTGTAATACTGTCAGCTGTATTCGTCAATTTGCTCCATGGATGGAGGTATGGATAGGGGGAGCCGTGTGCAGTGCAGCAGAGCAAGCGGACTTACTGGGGCCAGGTGCAACAGTCCGCCATCTCTCTTGCTTTCTTTGGGCAGTGCCGTACCGCGGTCGGCAGAATGGTAGATGGTGTTTACCAACCACCCCTCCCAGCCACCAGCAGCCCCTACCGGTAAATGAATAAGGGTTCAAAAAATAGAAAAGTAGAGAAAAGAAGAAAAAAAAACGAGAAGACCCTAAAGGAAAAAATAAATAAAGAATTAAAAATTAAGATAGGATAAGAAATCAAACAAGTACGAGTACTGGAGTACATAATCGGCAAGGCAAGGGCCCCAGCGTAGAGGAAGAAAAAAAAAAGAGGTGTAACCCTCCAATTTCCGGCAAACTTCCACCTTGATAAATACCCTCCCATCCACCACGCAACTCCTTCTTTTCCCTTCTTTCCTTCCTTCCTCACCACTCTCGCTGCAACAAACACCGACTTCGATACTCTCAATCGAACTCTTACACTCGTTACCTTTTTTCTCGACAGCAGCTTTTCCCTAAATTTCTCCTCGCACCTTACCACATTTTCACCTTTTCACCTACCAAACATCAAGATGCAGTTCAAAGTTCTCGCCATTGCCGCTCTCGTTGCCGGTGCTTCTGCCGCTTCTAACAGGACTATGACCAACGGGTTTGTTTTCTCCTTCCCTCCCTAACATCTGATGACAAGTGGGGCTAATGCACATAATAGTACGGTCCCAACCACCACTGGAGGTGTGGGAGGTGGCACGGGAGGTGGACGCAACGGAACCGTTCCGACTGGAAATCCATCTGGTGCTCCTGAGTCTAATGGTGCTTTCGCCAATGCCGTCTCTGGCGGTATGTTTGGTGCTGCTGTTGCAGCGGGACTTACTCTTGTATGTTCTCCTTTTGCTCCCTACCTTTGCGTCTTGGATTGAAGACTAATTGATGTTATAGGTCTTGTAAAAGGGCTTGATGGTCGATGCTGTTTTGTTTTCGTTTCTTTGCTTCGAAAATTGTTCTCGGGGGTTGCATAATGGGGATGGATGTTT